CGACACGAGTCCCTTTTTTGGGGAATTGACAAATTTTTCAAAAACAGTTTTTACAGTCAAATGTTCATGCAAAATTGAATGTAAGCTAGTCCCATAATGCCTAAGGTTGCCTCAATCTCACGATAGGTCGCATGACGATCTTGCAGTATTAGTTTGTGCACCGCATGAACCGTATCCGGAACGACAACTGATTTTGGGCGACCTCCACGAAATTCGTCTTCGAGTGAACTACGACCTCGGGTGAACTCGCTGTACCATCGATAAACACTGGTCCTGGATGGAGCTTCATCCCCAAAAAATGAACTAAGTCCATCCATGCATTGCTGTTGAGTTAGTCCACGTCGAAGGCTGTAGAAAATATTCGCGCGAAAATGCTCACGGTTCAACCCCATAACTTGGCCGAAACAAAATCTTATAACTTAGTGTAAACAACACAAATCGCGCTCAAATTTCGTAACGGAACCTCAAAATACACAAGTTTTACGATAGTTATGTCAGTTGCTAGTTGCTACACTAGTGTTTCCAAATCCCGAAATATAAAAGGCAACCCTCGTACTATCCTCATACTTCGATTCCTTGTTCACCGTGTGACTTTGCCCTACTTTGTAGAAGCTCTGAACGCATACTGTTATAAAACGCATTTGTACAATTAACTAAAAGTGAGAAGCAATTCAGCATCGAAAATAAAGTTGCGCGATAACCAGTTATGAATAAAATAGAAAGCTTCCTACTCCAACTCCAAACTCCTTAGTCGTCGAGACCACGTGGTATGCTGCTTCTTGAGCGCGTAGCAAAATGAACGCCAAAACTAGCTCCTTTTTGTTAGGTGAAAGTTGATGAAAATTGGACATTTTACCAATGTATCCTGAAATGAAAAAAAAGGTTCGGGAGAGAATGTTGACAGACAGAACTTTAGAAGCATTGGAAACATTACATCTCAACTTCTCCCTTGTTTTAGTGACGGCATTATCTGTTTCACTTCATTAGGTGGGAAGTTCTCCAACCCGTTTAATCCAGCTAGCGAAACAGCGACATTTTGCTAGATGGATCAAACGCTTATTGGCTATTGTAAAAATCACGAGTTGCGTTAAAGCCTCTGAAGACGACGATAACGACGAAAATTTAGGTCAATGGTTTGTTAAAGTGTTCCACCTGAAAACCTCGAACTGCAAAAGAGTTAGAACGACGCACTGGCCCTGTTATTGCTGAAGCAACCAAAGTGATGTGTTAATTTTAATGCCATGTCGTTTGATTTCTTTTCTGTATCGAGTATTAAAGTAGGGAAACTTATACGTTGAACAAACAACCAACACGATTGGATCCGCAGTGGGTTCCGTTGTATCAATCGTGATTTCGCTATGATAATAATACCCCCTCACTGCTGCCCCGGGGGCGGAACATGGCTAGAAACCTGCAGATGATGAGCTTTTTCTGCGTTGCAATTGCGTTTTATGGCGAAGTATTCGCACCCACTGTTTTCGAAACTGAATGGTGTTTGGTTGGTTTCTTATGACTCCGTTCTCACTTCAACTTCAAGATCTGTAGTTCTTACTGGGCCGAGTAATCGTATAAAGCTAGGACCGTTACTTACTAGTTCGGGCCATACTACTTTCGCACTTTCAGAAGGACCATATCAAATGAATTTACACAGACCACGCCTTGCTTACTTCACTTGGGGGTTTGCAGTCGAACCCACTCATTTAATCTCTCATAGTTCACCGTGTCTCCCAGGGTAATGACCAAGTGACAAGTTCGAGCAACTAATGACAGATTTCGATGATATCCCTCTAGCGAGGGCATAAGTTTACAAGCTCGAAGCAATCAATCTAAAATCTTTCGCAGAAACGCATAAGGACCCTTGGGCAATGGCGCGAACAGTAATTTCGGCATTGCAAACGTGCCTCACCACCCTACCTAGTGATTATACGTACTGACTATATCGAAACCATCTGAAGACAAACATGAAGGTGACGATTTACGTGGAGGATAAGGGCACCCACGAAAACAGTAACTGATTTGAGATTGACAGCTCACCTAGACACTTTTTATATGCTAAACTATCTTTGACAGAACAATTTTTCAAGAATTCAATAGCTGCTCACTACAAGCAACCCCTATTACAAAGGCTGAAAAAATGGACGAAGTCTCCAGATCCTCTTGAGCCTCTGGAATCATCGCTATGAGATTTCTGCTGTATGCCAGTTGACGATGTTCTTTCTTTTCACTATAGATGTACACCTCCCGGAAATTTCCTGAAATTTGTGTGTTCGCCCTTGGATTGACTCTTTTAACAAGCGCGGAAACGAAAATTCAGTACGGGCACTTACAGTAATTCGGCTATGGGTCCTGGGTCGTTGTGCGTGATGCCATGCTGACTCCCTAGCAATCATACTACCTCACCACCCACCCCTGTGTCCTTGCCGTAGAATCCTTTTCGACGCCTTATATATGTTTATAAAATTTGCTTATTCATTAGGGTTATACAGTGAAAGGAAAGACGTTGCCTGTGAAATTCTACTTATAGTGCACTTGACTTCGCTGTAAACTTACTGTAAGAGCCACTGACCGTACTGATTTTCCGTTCCCTNTTGACCATCACCTTAGATATTATAACCACGAAGAAATGCATTAAAACTATTTTTTCTTGATGAACTAATGCTTCATAACGAAGTGAATGCATGAATAAACATGGGGAAAATCTCCAAATGAAGACTTGTTATTCAGAGTTCGATCGATGCATTTATACTTTTCTATACGTTTTGTATGTTGAAAGCTGTTATCACCAGCAATACACGTACCTCCGTGACTAGTAGTAGCTGGCTCTGCAGCGAATATACCGTGGTCTTCTGTGAAATATATTGACGGTGTAAAATATTGCGTCTCGAAATCGATGGATTCGCTGGAATCAGTGATATATACCATCGGATCGCCCGGATAACGCCAGGCTCACCTTCTTGTGTCAAACACGCTATTCCGAGAAATGTTGAACTGAAGAATTTTCCCCTTTTTCAAAGTCTATAGCTTTTAAGTGTTTTTCCGCTGTTTAGCTGAGTTTAAGTTTTTTTTTCAGCTGTTTAGCTGAGGGAGAATATGAAACTGGAACATAGCTCGAAATCCTTTGACACAACAGAAATCGTAAACTTCCCTCCTTCCTTGATAAAGTTGTACTAACATAAGTCTAACTCTCCACTCCTTTCTTGAAACAAATGACAGTTTCCTGTACACGAAATTTGACACAGGACTAATAGGGCAGTGCAATGGTATTCAGTCAAAGTCGGTGCTAACGCCTTTGATTGGAAGTCTCAAACTTTTGCTCTCTTCCATAGAAATAAATATCCATCAAAAATCCAACTGTTAGACGATCAAAGATGATGCTGTGGATATGTTCTGAGTGATGATAGCACCGTTATCAATGTTCTTTATCAATGAATCCTTTTCTTCACGGAGATATCATTAGTTGAGAATTCCAGATTACAGGCGGTCGATTAAGTTTTGTTGCAAATGACATCGAGCATAGAGGATCCTTCATTGGATCACAAACCTCGCTGGGTAGCGGTCATAATCTAACAGTAAGAAATGAACAAAGTTCTAATCTGCTTATCATATTGCCCTGATGGGTCCCTATCCTGCACTTTCCACTCTCTTTTGTCACCCTGCTCTACCGCAACGTCTTATCGAATGAAACATACTGAATAGTCAAAGCTACATTGTAAATACCGAAGACGTTCGGATTTTGATCGGTAGGTGGCCTTTCTTAAATCCCTTATCTTCTCTTATCAGTTATGATCAGTTCTTGTCACCGAATACCTACGATCCCGTCATATCTTACATCACTTACTAAAATGCTGAGGTTCCCTGTTAGCACGAAAAGTGTAATCCTACCAAATTTCAACGCTCTCAGTCCACGCAAACAGGGGTTATGAATTTGCGGCCCAATCTTTATTGTGCACCCCCCCTCTCCTGTGCATGTAATCCCGCCCCGCCACCCAGCATAAGTGTTCCCATCCTGCCCCCCGTATTCCT